TGATTATCACAGCTACTGTAGGATGAATACAGTTAATTTCTGAATTGACTGAACAAATATAAAAGAGTTAGTGTTTACAACGTGAATTGTCTTTACTGAGTCACATGTCAGTACAGATATGCACCAAAAATTTAAGCAAATCGGCCTTTGGCTTAAAGATCTCAATATAAGAATATCCAAAGAAGCAAAATATTTTCTAATCCACACTATTTTGTACTCTCATTTTAAAATGGCTATTTTTAACATTCTATTTAATAAATAGATGTTAATATTGGAATCACCCTCATGTACTAGTTACTTCTCAAATATATAACAAGTGTTATGACTTTTCAAGAATGGGAAAGATTTTATATTAAATTTCATGGTTAACTTTTAAAATTAAGATAATTAAGGTACTTAAGGTATACTGTGTTAGTATTATTATTGCTCAAGCTTTGCTGCTAATTATTATTGTTAGAATTAGTGCTAATGAATGCTAATTCATATTTTAGGGCTTAACCTGATTATTAGTAGTAATAAACAAAATAATATCAGATCATTGGTATTACATAATTAGATATATCTGAATAGATGTCCAAAGTTTTATAGTAATATTGATATATTCAAAAAATGACATTACTTTTTTAAAAAGCTGATTTTCGGGGGTGGGGGTGCCTTTGAGTCAGTGATGACTCCTGGCACTTGTCTGGATTAGTCCCTGCAGTTTTCTTGGCAAGATTTCAGAAGTGGCTTACCATTGCCTGCTTCCTAGGGCTGACAGAGAGTAACTGACCCAGAGTCACCCAAGCTGGCTCTGTGCCTAAGGTAAGAGTAGAATTCATGGTCTCCCAGTTTCTAGCCTGGTGCCTTAACCACTATTCCAAACTGGCTGTTATAAATGCATGGCATTTAGACTTTCCTCAAGGATTTGATCAGGCACCAGCTTATATTTCAAAAGAGCTCCAATAACCTTTTGATTCAAAATTAGTATTCTAATGTGAACCTATACAGAACTGGCTATCTTAAGACTTTGAAACAACCATATACAGGGTATATCCGTGATGCAACCAGCCAGTGTATTGGTGCCCATAGTGTTGCTGAACAATAACAGGAATGCCTGTTTCTTTTTCTTTTGCAGTTCTTTAAGCCACCAGAAATTGTGATGATAAGCATCAACAGCAAAATGCTTAGCAACAGCAGCTTAATTTCTCATAGCCCAGAATCCAATATATACCACCAGCTTGCCCAGTGTAGCTTGCCCTTGATATAATATCATTTGTACTTGTGTGTGTGTGCATGTAGTTTACAGAGTATTTGTTTTCTGTAATGTTAAAAAAAAAGTTGGTAAGGCTTAAATCTTCCCAATTCATAGAATAATAAATCATAGAACTGTTGAGTCGGAAGAGACCACGAGCATTATCTAATCCAACCCTCTGTAGAGTGGAGGATAACCGTTCATGAGAGATGGCTTTTCAGTCTCTTCTTTAAAACTTCCAGAGATAGAAACCCATAACCTCTCTAAGTAAACTTTTCTAGTGATCTTACTAGAAATATATATATGTATGTATGTATGTATGTATGTATGTATGTATGTATGTATGTATGTATGTATCTATGAATGAATGAATGAATGAATGAATGAATGAATGAATGAATGAATGAAATCTTGACAGGCACAACTTATACCCATTATTTCTGGTCCTAATTTCTGTGCTCATGGGAAAATAGATCTTTGCCAACTTCCCTGTATCTTCCCTTTATGACAGCTTTCATGTCTCCCTTAAGTGTTACTGAACATCTCAAATTCCTTCAACATGTCCCCATAGGGCATGTCCTCAATTTCCTGTATCATCTTTGTTGCCATTCTCTGAATGCTGGAGTCCTTGGGGTTCTCTGTGTTGGCTTGTTTT